ATGCGTCCTATATTCCGGTGCTCCTCATACCCTAGAGAATAGTGTAATTAACTGCATGAAACAGGGCAATGATAAAACTTTCAACGATTTTAACACAGAACCTAGCGACCGATAATAGTAAGTTAGTTTGCCAGTGCCTTTCAACTTCATAATAACCTTTATCACAAGAATGCTGAGTTATGGGCAAAAGTGCCCCAGGGGGAGTCGAACCCGCACCTCACGCTTTCCGGGCGAGTGCGCTATCCGTTACGCCACCAGGTTCGACTCCCGCCTGGGGCACGACTTTTGCCCACAACTCAGCATTCTTGTGATAACATTCGGAACGCGAACTGCGGCGTTAAACAGCAGTTATCATAACATAATAACCTTTTTTCTATCCTTCCAAACGTTCAGATTCTTTTTTTCATTGAAATGTCATGCTATTTTTTATTCAAGATGACAAACTGATTGGTGTGCACTGCACACACGGCTTAAATCGTACTGGTTATTTGATATGCCGGTATCTCATCGATAGAATGGGCTGGACAGCTGAACGTGCTATATCGCGTGAGTTGCTGTACTCTAACTTTTCATATTACTTATGTTTTTTACGTGTTATGGCGCACTGTATCAAATTACCGTTGAGGGGGGGGGCTGATGAAGAAAACTGGTGAGTACGTGAAAGAGATTGCGCTTTGCCTTACTAGTAAAATTGGTGCAGTTCGGTGGCGGGGAGGCACTCAGCACTTTTGTTACTCCCACGTGTGGACCCGTCAAGTGAAAGTGATACCAGTCAAAGTTTGTAGAGACTACTTGTCAACTCTTGTATAGCACTAAACACAGCACTGGGAAGCAGCAAAAGGGCGAAACCCACCCCCCCCCCCCGTTCCGTTGCCCCTGGTTCCGTTGCTGAGCTGCGCCGATAAAATTATTTGTATCGTGAACCTGGAGTTTTCCTTTATACCTTCCATTTTAAGTGTTCGAGTTTTCGCGAGGCCACCCTATAGAACGAGGACATTACAAGAAGAGTTTATATGACGCCGAAAAACGGATAGCAGAGGTAAGCCGATTTTGAGCATTTTTTGACTGATCTGAACTTCCAAGGTGTTAGTAGCCTTCGTGAATATTCCATGGTTTCCCTTTACTCTTCGGCGCTAACGCAGTTTCTTCCTTTGATAACGCGATATCCCAGCTGGTTGCCGGTTGGCACAGCATGGGAACCATTCGCCACGCTCTTACTTTTCGCTTAATCTGGGCAAAAGTGTCGTGTCTTCTCGACACCTAAAAATACTTAAGCCTGGAACGCAGACCAGAGCAGATTCGTCAATGATAATCACGTAGTGAACCCATAGTCTCCACTGAGTTTACGTTTTGATTAGAGCGATGCGCTGGCGAGTGGTCTCCTCCCCCAACTACGTTAGCGCCCACTCCGAAACGACGCGTGTTTCTTTTGACTGATTCGGTGATATTGAGAACAAGTTATCGATCGGTTCGTAAAAACACTCAAAATCGCTTCGTTCTCAGTGAATGATCATTATCTGTCATAACTTTACGGGACACACAGCCTAATAGAATATATTTGATTACATTTTACACCCTCTACGGAGGTGAGTCAGGTCGACCCGGTAATGGGATTCACGGTGGAGCAGTTACCCTTCATCCACACTAGAAGCTTGCTGAGCGACAGTTTAGTCAACTAAAATTATTCTCTCCTGGCTTGAATCTTTTGATGCGGTGATTGGTGATATCATGTTTTGCCTCTAGGCACATATTTTTGGTAACTATTTGTACAGTTGTTGATTTTTGTTAAGTGTACACCAATCCAAACTGTACCTCTAATTAATTCATCGCGGGGGCCACCTATACCGATGATTTGTTCCCTCGATAGGTATGAGTTGAGGTGTTTGTGTCTGCTCATGGCTGCAGCTTCCTCGTTCTCGTTGTTTTTGTTTTTTGCCATGTTTGACACTTGAAAAGAGCTTCTATGAATGAATGTCTTTATGATTCGAACAGCTTGAATGGCGATAATGAACTTTGCGATTCTTGTGATGTAATTCAGCCCTCAGAAATGAAAGTCGTACCTCGTACGAAGATGACATCCAATTGGCAGATTGACCTTCCCTTTGGGGATTTCGAATCGGTAAAGATTAGTGTCATGAGAAAGAGGAGTGATGTCGACTAGGAGGAATTTCCTGCAATAGATCCATGAAAACTGCTACTTCACTTCATTAGACTTCATTGCGATTCTCTCTAGCCCTGTGGACCCCCCCCCAACGAACTAGCCAGTAGGACACATCGTATGTTAGGGCATGAGCGGGAGGCGAGGTACCTGACCCCTGAACGAAAAAGGGTCGCAACCACTTCTGAGAAATATGTCCCCTCCCTCTTCGCTCGACTGCAGTTTTTTTTTGCGAAAGTTTGCATGGGAGAACTTTCGAAAAGAACTACATAAGTGGTAAGATGTTGGAAAAAGTTAAGAAGATGGTAGATAGAATGGGGATGGGGGACCAAAGGAGGGAATCTCGAGGGGGTTGAATCCAGCAAAAGTTTTCCCAGAGGCAGGACGTGCCCTGCTAGCCACGTAGCCATACTACTCCCTCTTCCCAAAGGCTTACAGTGGTGATCCATGCAAATGATTGGGGTGTTTGACGCGGCGCGGTGGGGAGCGCAACCACAGCGGCTTTGTCCTCATCCTGAGTTCGCTATGATTCCTGAAAAATCTGCTCTGGCTGCGCTTCGAGCCACGCTCCTGTCCTGCTCCCGATCGTTTCCGGGGATAACGACTGTAAATGCGATTATCGCCCTTGTTGTAGATTAATTAGGATTGATGTACATTCTATGTTCAGTTCAGCGGACGAGAAGCCGTCGTCCCAGGTGCACCCCATATCCTACAGATTAAGAGGGCGTGGCTGCGTGCTCAATTCGAAACAACGCCTTGGTATGCGTTTTTAATGAGATATTTCCATTTAAAAAACCTGTCAGCCTCCGTTGTATCGGTCAAAAACGTGATTACTGTTTTCTAAAAGAAAATATTACAACAAAAACGCCGCTCTCCGTTCAGTGTCGTACGCAGCCATGCCTTCCCCATCTCCATGATGTGGCTTCTAAGTAGTGCCGCAAGACTCCTCATGTGTATCATTCATCTACAGGTGTTTCCATCATCCCATGTTTCTGAATCAGTATGATGATTACCTGTACTCATCCCTGGAAAAAACTTCGTCCACAGATTCACCATCATCATCGATGTTATCAGGATACAGGTGAGCATACAATGAAACGGAACCTGAAGAAATTTTCCGAGTAATTATTAAATCTTTTCTATCAATGACTTTCACTGAAATTATAAGGCTCACTAAAGGAGAGCAGTATTTAGCATGGGTAAGATTTTTCTGATTGATAACCTTAGAGGGGATTATGCCGGAGAAGAACCCGTTGAGAGGTCGATATCGGATGCCCCCCCCAAAGCCAGGACGTGCCCCGACTACTGTGTAAAACAGCGTTCACAGTCGGCGCACAAGCGATCTAGACACGCTCTACTCGAGCGCGCGATTTGGTCGCCTTCTATGAGAGCTGCCTAATGAGTCATAATTGAATAAACTCAATGGTTATTTCTGAAAAGTGTGTTAACGAACCGTCATAGGGAATTCGCTTTGCGCAGTCTTTGGCCCATCGAATCACTTCCTCATGATGCATATCGAAAATGCATGGACAGCATGAT